GGAGTTGTGCCTCAGTGGTAGAATGCTTGCTTTACATATGTAGGCACTGGGTTCAATCCTCACCACTGCATATAAATAAATGAAAAAAGTACAGTCCATCAACAACTAAAAAAAAATCATGTAACATATGAGTATACTTTTTTCTTGTCAACAGCTCCATAATATCCTTTTGTTACAATTTAGGTAAACTGTCACCTACTTAAACAATATCCTATCATCGAGACTTTATTGTTGCAGCAAAGATGCTGCAATGAACAATTATATCAATGTAGACAGATATTTTAGCATTAAGTATAGGATACATTTTTAAAGGGCATTTGCGGTTCTAAATTTTGGCATATAATGGATAATTCTGAGAAACCCCCAAGATACCCTGGTGTCCACAAACACATGGTGCTCAAAATCTAATCAGGACCCAGATTCTATCATTGAAGCCTCATTATCTAAGCCATCTGCACTCAGTTTTGAGCTTGTTGGCTGGCCAAAATGCAAGTAGAGTATGTTGACCTTGCCAAGGTCAATTTCACAGAGCTGGATCTGATGCAGAGGCAACCTCCACTTCCACAGTCATTCTGTGGACCCACAGCAGCCCCTAGAATGACATCTGGGTATGGCAGTGCAGGGACTGATGCCCTAGCATGACTCACGCCTCTGCACTGAGAGACTCCACATGGCTTTGCCCCTGGGTGGAGTGGGATTTGACTCACGCACTGACTCAGTCCAACAGCATTCCCTCCATCTGCGGGTGGAACTTCCACCAGGAACATTAACTCAGTCATACCCTTCTCTCTAGCAAGTACATAAAGGTACAGAGAGCCTTGATCTGTGATGTGAACCCCACTGCAGAATCTGGACAATTCTTGGGGTTCCTCATCTTCTCCCCTTATATCCTCAAAACCCCAATACCATCAAAATCAGCCATATCTGTATCTCAACTCCCTAATGGCACCTTAAACAGAAAGAGGTCATTTAAGAATAATCCTATGGTGGTGCATGCCTGTAATGACCAGCAGCTTGGGAGGCGGAGGCAGGAGGATTACAAATTTAAAGCTAGCCTCAGCAACTCAGTGAGGCCCTGAGCAACTTAGCAAGATCCTGTCTCAAAGCAAAAATAAATAAATAAAAGAGTTGCGGATGTTTCTCAGTGGTTAAGCACCCCTGGATTCTACCCCTAATATACATCTCTTTCCCCAAAAAGAAGAATTCTACAAGCATGGTGTGACTAACATGGTAACTAAGATTTCAGTTAAGTCTGTGTGCTTAATCATGCATATATAATTTATCTGTAAATAAACTGTGCCAGCGTGAGCTCAGTTTGAGACCCCATCCCTCCTTACTAGGGACATAAGGGTTTCGTGGCTTGGAGGAGCAGGCTTTGTGTTTTGGTTGGGAATTTGTTTTGTTGAGATGGGGACTTGCTATATTGCCAGTCTGGCCTTGAACTCCTGGCCTCAAGCCATCCTCCTGACCCAGCCTTCTAAAGATCTGGGACTACAGGTGCATACCACTGTGCCAGGCTTTGGTTGTGTTCTTTCTTCTTTGTTTCTAATTTTTCTTCGATTGTTTTCCTGTTTCTGTAGTCACTCCTCGACAGGTTCTGGTTGACATGGTTGTGTTTGATACAAGACAGAGTCCTTGCTGCCCAGTTTGGGTCTTTTAGCTTAATCCTTTGCTTTCCCCCCTCCTCATCAGGGGATGTTGTGACATTCCCTTTTCTTCTTATTTCTGATATGGTAGCTGCATCTGCATCTGTGTCAATGTCCATTTTATGTTTGTTCAGCCTGTCTCACCAGAGATTTTTTTTTTCTTTTTGGTACCAGGGATTGATTGAACTCAGGGGTGCTTAACCACAGCCACAAACCCAGCCCTTTATATATTTTGTTGAGACACAGGGTCTCACTGAGTTGCTTAGTGTCTCACTAAGTTGCTGAGACTGGCTTTGAACCTGTGAGCCTCCTGCCTCAGCCTCTAGAGCTGCTGAGTTTACAGGTGTTTGCCACTGGGACGGCTCACTAGAGATTTTTGAGTGACTGGCTCCTTTTGTGGTGGGAGAGGCTGCTTCTCTGCCATTCAGGAAACCTCATTAGTGGGTCAGGAAGGACCAGCAATCAGGAGCAGCCATCCGGAAGAGCCTGCTCCTGCCAAGACACATTCACACAGCATGCACACATGGGCAAGCACATACTCTAAAATCAGCTTCCATGATCATTATTATCTCTGCGTTTTAAAAACCACCCAAGGAAGGCAGAATGGTCCCTTTAGCAACTTCCTTCTTTGATTCTACCCTGCAGACTGGAGTTGTCTTGAGCTGAGGCTTGGGACGTGAACCAGGGAGGGTGGAGTGAACTTGCTGGAGTACCGAGGTGAAGCAGGGGTGGGGTGTGTTTCCTTTACGGTCTGGGTAGAATGTTGTTGCAGGTGGGGCTTGGAAAGAAGGCTGTGCCTCATTTCCCTAAGGCAGTGTTACTTGGTCTAAGCCATGGTCTTGATTTTGGCTGCCTTTCCCAAAGGCTTCACAAACTGCCCAGTTACCATTTGTAGGAACCATTTTGAATCCCATCCTCATTTTAATTCAATTTGAAATTATAACTGGTCACAGAGAACCAATGATATAGATGTGCCAAATCTCAACACACACTGACTCTTGCTCTCCCAGGAAGCTCAGGTTAGGGGAAGGCAATCTCAATGGGAGAGGGGAGAACTGGTCTCTGGTCTCACTCCACCAATTCCAGCTGTGTGGCCTTGAGCAGGCACCTTAGCCTCTTTTTGTCCTCCTGTGCACAACTGTCTGAAGACAGAAGAATGGCACAAGCTCCTCAGAGTCCCTTTGTTCTCTGATGTCTACATGCTAAGCGGCAAGTGTAGTTAATCTGTTATTGTCCTCACTCTCCCAAGAAAAAATGGAAGTTCAAATAAGTGGTCTCCCAACTCTCCCATGATGTAAAGCAGAAACATTAATGCAAAACCTGCTACAAATGATGTAAGTCAGACCAGATGACCCTCCAAACCCTGCTATTCCTTGAGTGCATTGTTTTTGCTTAGAGACAATGACATAATGGAGGGGAAATGAGAGCCTGTAGAATACACTCAGCACAGTGCACAGAACCCACCAGGCATCAAGACACAAGCACTTCTAATAACAATGGCTTCACTGTCATCGTGTTATAGAAACTACAAGCAATACACCATAAATCATAGGCAGGCAGATATATTATATATATATTTGATTGCAACTCAGAAAATAGGCACAAATATTTTAATCTAGTTGATGTCCATGAAATGTGTTTCATCTCAACTATTAATTATGGTTTAATTTTACTAAAGCAAAAATGTGAGAGATGTGTTTACTCAGGAGACAGGATGGTCTAGTAAGAAGAATATGGGCTTTGGGGTTGTGTAGTTTTTCCTTTCAACAAAAATCAATGACCACATTGTTAGACATCGGTCTGACTTTGAAGCAGGGACATTGAGATGTCCCTTGTCATATAAAGCTTCATTTTGTACATGACCTAATCAAGGACATATCTGCTTTTGCAAAACATGATCACAATTCACTTTTATCTCTATTCCTTTACCAGGTAGTTGAGCTTTTTGACAAAGGTACAGAGCCTGAATTTGATCCTGAACCACCCAAAGCAAGGTTCTTTCTATCCTGGTTGTCACTCCCAGATGGTCCCAGTATTAGGTAGCTGCCCCATCCCCTCAAATGACCTGCCAACTCTGTCTTGCAGTGGTAAGAATCTAAGCCAATGAAAGCCAGACCTGGCAGTACCTTTGGAACTTCCCACACAGGAGTGTGTGGGTTCTGGAGCTGGTTTGCTGCCCCAAGGCTGCAGTGTGAGATGCCAGGGGCTGAGCCAAGTCCCAGATGCCAGTGAATAAGAGTCACAATATCCCCAGGAAGTCTTCACCAGGAGGGGTCTGTCCTTCCTTCCTTGCTACAGAGTTTCACTTCAGCCAACACACTCACCAACTCCTCCGATACAGGCCCATCTATTCCTTCAGGAATCGATGCTTTCTGTAATGGCTCCTATTACCCCAATATCTGCCCTTGAGCCAACCCAGATAAACTCCCTGGATTTGACAGTTGTCTGAGTCTGAGAACCACGGCCCCAAAGGTTCCCTGAGGTGGACTTTTTTTCTGGACTAATCACCTGGACTTCTAATTCAGGCTTCCAACCCTTTCCTAGACCTCCAATTCTAAAAGCTAGTATGTGACAACATGATTTCGACCATGAAGGGATTAATGACTTAGGAGATAGCAATGTAAGAAATGGAAGGATTCCTGAATAACTGTGTGGGCCTGATTCACATTACTAGCCTGGGCTGCACACCATAAAACTGTTAAGAGAAATCTCCCGTATTCCTTTGAGGAGGAGGTCTCTTTGTTATAGAGGCTTAGCTTTCTTTAGCCTAACTAATTCCATGCTTCCTAGTAGTCAGGAAATGAAAGTTAAAAAAAGATACTATTTCATATCCTAGGATTGGTCACATTTAAGAAGTCTGATGATAACGATAATTGGCAGGGATATAGGAAATGAGAAACTCATATATTTTGGCAGGAGTATAAATTTTTGCAACCACTTTAGAACAATTTGTCAATATTACTAAAGTAGAAAATAGCATTCCTTACAACTCATTCATTTTACTTCTAGGTAGTGCAATTTTACATACTGATTCACACCCATAGGGCCTTTACAACTTCATTTATAACAGTAAAAAATTAGAACAACCTGAATGCTCATTGTAAGAAAATGGATAAATAAATAGTGATTTTTCATATGAATGTGCACAATCATTAGTTAAAATGAATACGCTACATGTGTATGTATCAATAGGAATAGATCTCAAAAACAACTCCTTTTGAAGAAAGGAGTTGAATTATATATACAACGTGAGAGCATTAGATAATATATTTAAAATATGCAAATTGAATAAATATGTATCATTTTGCATACATGCAGTAAAGGCTCAAAAACATGATTTAGAATAGTACATACCAGATTCTTGACAGTAGTTGCTTCTTGGAAGGAAGGCGAGGGCATGAGTCTGTAGAGAGAAGTAAGAGGACTTAACACTATTAAGTTTTATTTATTTTATAAACAATGAAAAGTGCTAAGTTGTTAATATGTATTAATTAGGGTATTGGTGCCATCAGAATTATGCTAGAGCTGGTTGAGATGGGGGGAGCTGGTTGTGATGTGAGCATCTCTCTCTTACCACCTTGCTCTCACCACCTCTTGGTGGAGTTTGAAAGTGTTCACATGGTGTAGTCTTGGAAGTGTTCACAGCACAGGAATGGGCAAGTGCTACCAATCAGGGCTGTTTCATCTGGAGAGTTAGTTGTTAGCACACTACATACCTATGTATGTACAATGTACCTGTATGGTCACCCTGATACTTTTAAATGATTTTTAAAATGAAAAAAAATTAAAATTCTATTTTATCTAACTTTTCTGAATTATATTTTTGCATAAAGCTTCCTGCATGTTTCTTATTGGTGATAAAAATAATTAGAACATCCCCCAAAAGGTTCTAATGAAAGGCCAGGTTTTATTTGGCTTTTGAGAAGACTTGGCTCATTGGGGTTTGAAGAAGATTTTGGACTTCTGTTACACAACTGCAACATCACGTGTCTTCAAATCATCTGTGATACCCTCCGTGTGATGGAAGTTTCCTGCCTCATCTCAGAGAAGATACCAATTTCATAACTACCAGAATGCCTATGTCGTCCTTGGTAAATTCAAGTTGTTGAACTACAAATTTGATTTCTATCTGTGTAAAAATAAATTGGATGCTCACAACACATTCTTTTTTTTTTAAAGAGAGAGTGAGAGAGGAGAGAGAGAGAGAGAGAGAATTTTTTAATATTTATTTTTTAGTTCTCGGCGGACACAACATCTTTGTTGGTATGTGGTGCTGAGGATTGAACCTGGGCCGCACGCATGCCAGGCGAGCGCGCTACCACTTGAGCCACATCCCCAGCCCCACAACACATTCTTGAGACTCCACGCAGCATGAGCTGGCCTCTGCATTCACGGCCTCAGGTAGTGGAGACTGTATTTGGAGTTTCTGAACCCCAAATAAGGACATGTGGACATAGACAAATGGAGGAGTATGGGCCAAATGTTGGACTGGAGTTCTGTCATTAAGATTCTGGGCTTTCATCTTTTTAATTGCCACCAGGTGACAAAGATGACTCCTTCCTCATCAAGCTCAAGAGTGCTCTGCTAACATACGGCCATTGGAACGACTGCTCTAACATAACTTCCTATTTTTGTTACTAAAATGTAATAGAGATTGAAGAAAATGTGAGAAAAAGAAAATAATCTGTTCATCATTTCATAGCCCAGAGATAACCACTGACAGGTCAATAAATAATTTTTCAGCTTTTGTGTCTATTTTTAAAACAATGATATTAAACTCTGTAAACTACTTTAACTGGGCCTCTCCCCTTAAGACTATCATTAACTTATTTTAATATCATCAAATTTTCTTCAAATGTGCATTTTATCTCTTTATAGCATTACATTGTAAAATTGTAGCCAAATTCATTTCCCTCACCCTCCCACTGTTATATAAATATTCATTTAGATTGTCTGCAATTCATCCATATAAATTGGATATGATTGTCATTCCAGTATGACTTTGCATACATCTCTCTTCCTTTCTTTGTAATAAATTTTAATAAAGTCAGAATTTATGAATACTCTCCAAACTTTTTTATGATCATTTTTATGCAAATTGATTCTTCATGTAGGCAACTTTATACTACCCACAACAAACATTTCATGTATGTTAAAGACAAATATTAAAAGCAAAACTTGGGAACTTCAGAAGAAAACTTATAAAAACATCTTTTATGATATCACAGTAGGGAAGAAAGAAAAGCACAACAAAGGTAACACTAGATAATTTAAATATATTAAAATGTAAAACTTTTGAATAATAAAATATGCTATCTATAAAAGAACAGAGATTGGGAGAATCTGTCATTACATAACATAGGAGTGTTAGGGTCTAGATAAAAAAAACTCTTAAAAATCAATAAGATATAACATGGTAGGAAAAGAGGCAGAGAAGATGAAAGACACTTCACACAAACACAAAGAAACCTAATGGCTGTTAAACTTAGGATGACACGTTCAAATTTACTAATAAGTAAATCAACAAACTGGTTCACATCCATCAGATTAGCAAAAATTTTAAATTAAACAAGAATGTGATATATCCGGGAGTCTGAGCTACTGCTGATGAAAATATAAATTGGCTCAAACATGTTGAAAAGCAGTTTGGCAAGCAATCATTAAGGTTAATGAGTATGCTCATTAGAGTCAGAACCAAGGTGAGTCAGGCAGGTGCCTAGGGCTTGACATTTAAGGAAGCCCTCACTTTCAGGCTCATACAGATGCAGGTTTGACACCTGAGAATGGGGGTCACCTTAAATAATGTACTCCAGATGCATACATGACTTTGGTGCTGATGCACAGAGTCAAAAAGTCAATAATTCTCTCTCTTTCTCTCTCTCTCTCTCTCTCTCTCTCTCTCTCTCTCTCTCTCTCTCTCTCTCTCTCTCTCTCTCTCTTTGTATATATATATACATTCACAAATTATTTCACCCATGCACCAAGAGATATAAACATTCTGCAGGCTCAACTCTATCTCAGTTTTTCTTCCTGGAACCCAACCTATGAGCTTGGGTGACTTCAGGAGTGAGGGAACAAAAGTAATATGAAGTTTTGGAATTGAATCATTTGCCTCTTCCCTGGCAATGGAGATTCCCATCATCCTGGTCACTTGAGCAGAAATAGCCTCTGGCACAATGTGGTTGTTGGATAGAGTCCTCTGCAATTCATGCCTACCTAGAATCTCAGAATACAGTCTTACTTGGAAATAGGTTCATGCAATTAGATAAGGATTTTGCGATAAAACCAACCTGAATTTGTGGGGTGGGGAGGAGCATTGATTGGCTAAGGCCTCTACATAACTGTTCAATCCGGTTTGTGTCCTATCCCATAATCCCCACTCCCTTATAGATATAGTTCCTGAAGCATCATCATAACCTCCTGGGGCAATCTGTCTCAGGACCGGTTCCCAGAAGCCTACTTAAGACAGTAAGCATTGTCATCATCTCATACAGTCTGGCTATTTGCATAAATTTGCAAGAATGGTGAAGTGACTATTTGTAAACACGTCCAGCACAGATCCAACAGCTAAGAAATCCTGAACTGCTCCTAATTTCTCTGTGCTTTGAGTCAGTTTTAATCACAGGTTTAAGAACTTCTAACCATTAATCGCACCATGCATACTTACTCTGCTAATTGAAAAACTTCTGAAATTAAAATCAGCTTTGCACACCAAAACCCCCTTGGCTATCAGAAACAAAGACCTCTCAAGAGATTTCAGGTTTACAAAGGCACATTCATGCTTGCAAATTTATGGGCTTAGCATTTTCAATTAGGTCACTTCATATCTTTAGGTTTTAGATTGGAAGACTGAGAGCATGCAGGTCATGGAACATTAGTTGGAAATAATGATGCTTTCTTGAGAGCCCTCTGAATCTGCTCCAAGGGAGACACTTGATTTAAAGTCAGGGCAATGTGCACGGAGCCTGCCAACCTCCTCTAATTAGATTATCTGTAAATATGAAGAGTTAAATGATTTCTTAACACACACAAAAGGAATTCTCACGCTGATACGACCCAGAGGAGAACTGGCAGTCATGCTTCTATTGAATCTGAAAGGATTTAGCCAAATGACTCCATCTGGGGTAGGAAGGGGTTGGTGGAAGTGAGAGCAGCCAGTGAGGCAAAGACCAGATGAGCCAGTTCATTGTTCAGTGACTTGTCCAGGGTCCACGGTGAACTGAAAGTGTGGCTGTGGCTTTTTATGGATGTACAGTTACAGTCAGGGTTAATTTAACTCCTTCCATGCTGACAAACTGAAACTGAGAATTCAAGATTGGAGGGACAAAGGCATGTGAAGCCATAGCTTTCAGTATCCTGCATGTCAGCATCTTATCACAGCTGAAGCATAAAAGAAGTAAAGATTACAGGCCAAAGCAAAAGAACTTTGTTCTCTGATACCATCAAGAAAGTGGATTAAAAAACAAACTCATGAAATGAGAGAAAATATTTGCAAATCATTTATCTGACTAGGGACTGGTATCCATAACAATAGAGAGAACTCAATAAGAAGCAAACTGATTAAAAATGAGCAGTCTTTGAATAGAAATGTCTCCAAAGCAGCTACACAAATGCCCAAATAAATCCATGGAAAGATGCTCAACAACGTCACCTATTAGAAAGATGCAAATCAAATTCACAAGGAGACTGCACTGGGAGGGCTAGATTCAAGAAGCATCATAACAAATGGTGGCAAGGGTGTGGAGGGACTGGGAACCCTATACATTACTAATGAGAATACAAAAAGATGAAGCTGCTTTGGAAAACAGTTTGGCAGCTCTTCAAAAGGTTAAATATACAGTTAGGTTATGACCCAATAATTCCACTCCTACATGGAACATGAGAAAGGAAAGCACGTGTCCACAGAAAATGTTGTGCACAAAGTTATAGCATTATTCAGAAAAAACCAAAAAGAGAAAACCCACATGTCCATCAAATGATGAATGGATAAACAAAATTTGATATATCCATGTTAGGAATATTACTCAGCCATAAAAATGTATGAAGGGAATGTTACAATATGGCTGAGCCTTGAAAATATATACTGGGGTGAAAGAAAGAAGTTGAAAAAGCCACATGTAGTATGGTTTTATTTCTATGCAATGTACAGAATAGGCAATCTATAGAAAAAAAAGTAGGGTCAAAGGTAGTTAATTAATGGTGGGGGGCTAATCGGTATAAAGTTTCTTTTTTAAAAAAAATCTTTATTTTATTTTTATGTGGTGCTGAGGATCGAACCCAGTGCCTCATACATGCCAGCCGAGCATGCTACCACTTGAGCCACATGCCTAGCCCATAAAGTTTCTTTTTGAGGGGATGAAATTGTTCTAAAATTAGACCATGGTGATGATTGTACAATTCTGC